TGTCAGACGCGCACGAGTGATAAATTGAAAAAGTGTTTGCATAGTGTTGTGTTGCTGTGTTCGATATGTCGAAATTTATACCAAACAAAGAGCATTCGCGGACAGCATTAATTTTTTGTTTTCATTTGAAGAAAACTGCTGCCGAATCATACCGATTACTTTGAGAAGCTTATGGTGAACATGCTCCATCGCAAGATACGTGTGAACGATGGTTTCGGCGTTTTAAAAGTGGTGACTTCGATGTTGCAGACAAGGAACATGGAAAACCGCCAAAAAGGTACGAAGATGTGGAATTGCAAGCATTGTTGGACGAAGATGATTCACAAACACAAAAACAACTCGCAGAGCAATTGAGCGTTAGTCAACAAGCTGTTTCCAATCGCCTACGAGAGATGGGAAAGATTCAGAAGACCGGAAGATGGGTACCGCATGAGTTGGACGGCAGGCAGATGGAGAGGCGCAAAAACACATGTGAAATTTTGCTTGCACGATACAAAAGGAAGTCGTTTTTGCATCGTATCGTTAGTGGGGATGAAAAGTGGATTTATTTTGAGAATCCCAAGCGCAAAAAATCATGGGTAGATCCAGGCGCACCATCCACATCAACCGCAAGACCGAATCGCTTTGGCAGAAAGACGATGCTCTGTGTTTAGTGGGATCAGAAAGGTGTGGTTATGAGTTATGTGGTCTATTATGAAGTATGTATGTTAAAACCTGGTGAAACGGTTAATGCTGGACGCTACCAACAACAATTGATCGATTTGAACCGTTCGCTGCTTGAAAAAAGACCAGAATACCAAAAGAGACAACACAAAGTCATTTTTCTTCATGACAATGCTCCATCACATACGGCAAAACCGGTTCGCGACACGTTGGAAGCACTCAGCTGGGAAGTTCTACCCCATGCGGCTTACTCACCAGACTTGGCTCCTTCCGATTACCACTTGTTTGCATCGATGGGTCACGCACTTGCTGAGCAGCGCTTTGGTTCGTACGAAGATGTGAAAAAATGGCTCGATGAATGGTTCGCGGCAAAGGGGGAAGATTTTTACTGGCGTGGTATCCACAAATTGCCCGAAAGATGGGAAAAATGTGTAACTAGCAATGGAGCATACTTTGAATAAAGCTCTTTTTATCATTCTTCCGAATTTAACGTGTTTTTTTTTTAAATCCGCATTTCATACTTGTACACCTGGTAAGTCAAATGATACTTATAACGTGGAACGTATCGAAGTACTTAAGGAACCTGACTACTTCAACGTGCGCTAAGTATATCAAACCATGGGCGACAAATAAATTGCTGCCCGAATTGGTCAGCGGTCAGAATAGCCGAATGTAGGGACGCGTCTCTGGTATGTAGTGCCATATGCGTCTCGCTGCGTAGTTGAAGGTGAGTGCCACCGCAGCGAGAGGAAGCGAGCGTAATTCGATCCCGCGCGAGCGCGGGGTTGAGGAAAATCGATAAAAGTCGTGAGAAAAACAAGCAATCGTTTTTTGTACTCTCTGTATAGAAGAAAATATACTACTTTATGCCGAGTTGTTGTGGTGTCATTACTCCTAAGAAACGGTTACTATATCAATATGTCAGACATTGAGGCCCTCAATATGGTCGAATATTGGAACGCCAATGTATAGCCAATATTCATCAGACATTGCAGAGATAGTAAAAAACCCGGGCTTTTTTAAAAAAGCTAAACCTACTGGGTTTTATGGGGATTTTATTGAATTTTATAGAAGTTTTTTGGAGTTTTTTTGATAAAATTGATTTTTTGATATTTTGTAATATTTAGTTTACGTTGTGTTTATCATTATTTAATTACATATTCAGATAAAATTAACTATAAAAGAATTTTGTAAAAATATTATAACAATAATTTTGTAGAAGTTTTTGTTTCTGAAGAGATCTCAATCATGTAGCCGAAACATATAGAAC